GAGGGTTGCGATCCCGTTGCCGGTCCCGGTCCGGTACGGGCGCGACACTGAGGGTTGCCATTGTTGCCGGACACGAAAAAAGACAAAAAGGAAAAAAAAAAAAAAAAAGCAGAGAACTGTCTCCAGCTGGAGGAAGAAGAGGAAGGCAGGAGAGAGGTGACCCAGAAAGGAAAGCCAGGCATTCCAAGCATGAAAAGGATTTGAAGTACCACTGCTGGTTCTGAGATGTATGGGTCATGTGCAAGGTCCTGTAGCAGCCTCTAGAAGCCAAAGTCAGCTCCTGCTGGCAGCCAGCAAGTAAATGGAGATCTCAGTCCTGCAAGTGCAAGGCACCAAATTCTGCCAACAACCTATATGAGCTTGGAAGAGGATTCTTCCCAAAGTCTCCAGAAAGGAATGCAGCCTTGCCAACTTCTTGATTTTAGTGTCACGAGACCCATTTCTAGGCTTCTAGCAAATAGATAACGTGAGATAATAGATGACTGATGTTTTAAGATGCTAGATTTGTGGTAATTTGTTATGGCTGCGATAGGAAATGAATACACCCTCTCTCACACCCTCCTCATTCTATTCCAGCCCTTCAGAAATGTACCATGATTTTGAAGGTGTCAGTTGAAGAGTCTGACCAACTAACTCCATGTCAATTTACTACCGGACAAGGGCTGGAAGGAGATTGTAATTTTCTTAACACCAGCATTTTGGAGATGCTTTTTTTCATCTGATTCTCCTAGATGTCCATAAAAGCAGCAGGGATTTCAGAGCCAGAAAAAGGGGAGATTAGCTTCCTGGCCAGTGGTAAGAGAGTAATTTAGGGCCAAGCAAAGGCTTGCAAAGTCACACCTCCCCCCATACTGTCCAGGAGAGGGCTGCTCACGCTTTTCTTTCAGCTTCCCCTGCCCCTTATAAAATATAAAGTATGTCCATGGTTTAAAAAGAAAATCAAAGAGTACAGAAGGTGATACATTGATTATTATTATTTTTTTTTCCCCTTTTTGTCTTTTTTCATGTCCGGCAACGGATCGCAACCCTCAGTGTCGCGCCCGTACTGGACCGGGACCGGCAACGGGATCGCAACCCTCAGTGTTGCTCCCGCACCTCGCTCAGCCAGTGAGCGGGACCTGGTCTGTACCTGGGATCCGAACCCTCGGCGGGAGCGCCACAGAAGGTGATACATTGAAAAGTAAAAGTTCCATCTTTCTAGAGAGTTTGCATGTAATACAGTCATTATTATATCTGTTTTCTTTTTTCTTTTAAACAGGATCACTCTGCATATGCTATTCTGTAACTTGATTGTTTTTTCATTGATTAATATATCTTGGGACATTGTCTTATGTCAGTACACATAAAGCTGACCAGTTTTTTTCCATTCTTTTTAAAGATCTCATAAAGAATGGCTATAAGTTACAAATGAGGAATTTACTAATTCATACCCTATGAATGGCCATTTATGCTGTCTGTATATTTTCATTAACACAAATGAATGTCCTTTTTTAACCTTATGAAAGTCTTTCTATATGATACATACCCAGAAATGGAATTATTGGGTTAAAAGACACATGCATTTAAAAAACTTAGATATTACCAAAATTTCATTCAATAGTATACCAAATTTACTCTCCCATGAACAGAGTTTGAGAGTATCTGTCTGGCCCACATTCTATACAAAATTGGTCTTACTACATTTTTTTCACCTTTACCAATTTCTAATGTAGAAAATGATTTCTCATAGTGTTATTTACATTTTAAAAAAATTCTCAGTGAGGTATAGCATCTTTTCATATGTTTACTGAACATTTATAATTCTTTTCATGTCCTATTTATGTCCCTTGCAATTTTTTTTCAAGTTCTTTTTTTATTGATTTATTTAAGTTATTTATATGTTAAGGAAGTCTTTTGTCTGATGTAATGCAAATATTTTTCCCCTGTGGATTATCTTCTGACCCTACTATTAGTATTATTTGCTGTCATAATTATAAATTTATATGTAGTTAAATAGATCAATATTTTTCTTTTAGGTTTTTGGTTTTGCATCATGGTTGAAAGTGCCTTCCCCACTCCAAGATTATTTTTTAAAATCCGCCCATATTTCATCTCCTTCATTTCTGTGTTTTATCCATCTGAAATTTATTTTAATATAAGAAGGGAGAAGGAATACAGATTTGCTTTTCCCCCAAACAACTAGAGGTTTTCTGAACATTATTTATTGAATAAGCTATCTTTTCCTCTTAGATATGAAATATCATCTTCATCATATAATAAATTTCCAAATTATATACTAAATTTGTTGTCTACTTTTGACCTCTCTGCTTTGGTGTCAACACAAATTATTTTAACTACATAGCTTTATAATCCATTTTTTATATTTTATTATTTTTTGACATCCTCTAGCTTTTGTGGCATGTTAATTTTTTCAGATGAACTTCTTGTCAACTTTCAAAAAAATTCTATTGATATTTTGATTTCTTGTGTTTTTATTTGACTCAGTTACTGGGCTGTGAAGGCTTGATTTTTACTTACCCAGACAGATGCCATGATATCCCACCTTTGCCTGAAGTTGAGGTTGCACTAACCTATCAAAAGAAAAAAATTACTGAATGGTATAAATTTGTGATTCAGAACACAATAATCTCAGTCCAGATCTTAATTCAGAAAACAGAAGTCAACATTCACAGAAAAAACTTTTCAGGAAGAGGATGTATCACTGACATCAGGTACCCCAATCACATTTACTAAACAAACATTTACTGAGCACCTACCATATACAAGGGACTGTGTTAGACCCGTGAGGGCTCCAAGACAGGAGAGAAAAACATCTCTGCACTTAAGGAGCTGACAAATATGCTTCCTGGAAAATCCATTTTTGACTTATCTAAATCCAGCAGAACTATGTCGACTACTGGCTTCTTTCATCCAGGACGGACTACCATCACAGGGGACAACAACAGCACAAACACAGGAAATTGCTCCTTCCCACCAAACCTACACAAATTTTAGCTGGCTTTGCTTTGACTCCTTGCGCTTGATTGCAAAACCTCAATGTACAATTTACAAGGCTCCAAGCCTACAGTCTGTTATAAACAGACATTTGTGCTCTTTGAGGAGGCAGTCCAGTCCTCAGTAAGTGATAGGGGCAGTCTTTGATTGTGAACCCAGGCACACTTTCTATAAGTAGACATTATCCAAACATGCTGGCATTTCCCCAGAGCTGATTTAGAAATGCACGTTGTTCCCACCCATCCTGGGAACAAAATATTCTAAAAATTCAACAATAGCCTCAGAGCAAAGTTCAATGGGAAATTACACTATTAGTCCTTGGAAATATTTAGCCTGGCTTTTCTTTGACTTTCTGTAGTCTAGGGCAGTTGGCTCTCTCTAGTTACAGAATCTAACATTAAATCTCTATCTGTGCCATGGATACACGGTATCAGTAGTTCTGGTTTTGCCTCTTAAAGCTAGACACAATTTCTTTGAGTCTCTGTTTCCTCATCTGTAAAAAGGGGAGAGGAAGGCCTCAATTGCTATCATTGAATGAGATAATCTGTATAGTAATATCGCTGTGTCTTGAGTTCTTACTATATGCCAGGTAATACAGAAAGTACTAGAAGGTCAGTTCCACAAGGCTGAGGATCTTTGTCATGTTTGTTCTGGGGCACAGTAGGAAAAAATACTGAAAAAATACTTATTGAATGAATGAGTGATTTAACGTAAGCCTCACAATAATCCAGTGAGTTAGGTACGTAGGGGCCAAGGGAAGACTTCCCCTTTATCCCCTGAGGGTTTGCTAAAAACCAATTGACAAAACTCAGACTAATTAGAAGAAAAAGCATAACGATTTTTATGTTAATGTGCATAGCACAGGGAAATCACAGAACGATTGCCCAATAATCCAAGGCAGTACAGACGGTTATACGGTTACACGAGTATATCTCTCTTCACAGGGGAAGGAAAGATGTGGGTTTACGAGCAAACGGTTTTTAGGTTAACTCAATGCACTTGGAGAACATACAATGGCTTGGGGACAAAGTCTGTGGCAGCCACAGCTCAGACAATGACTGGTAAATCCTTTGTTCAATATACTGTATGGGTTTGAAATAGAAGACAATGGTTTGTGACAAAAGCCTGTCCAGGTGTGTTGACAGACTTCAGTCTTTCTTCCTGTGATATGAGTTAATTTAATGAAAACTTAGGGAAAGAACCATAGCTACTAATTTTTTTTCTTCTTTGGTGGGTCTGGACTTTAGTCAGAAGGGAACAGATTCATTCCGTGCTGTAGAAAGAGACAGAGGATTGAGAGACAGAAGTGAGGAGTAGTGGGGAAGATCAGAGAGAACTTGAGGCTGCTTCCTTATTCCAGCATGTTGAAACATCATATTTTGGGAGTCCAAGAAGTTTGCTTTGCCTTGACCTTTTTCTTTGCAACAGAATCTGATTCACTAGACATGAATCATTCCTCTGGCATTTGACTCAGCAGGTGGGAGATCTGGATACTTGATTGCAAATGACCATATACAGAAAACTGTGTGGAAACAGAATCTGATTCACTAGACATGAATCATTCCTCTGGCATTTCACTCAGCAGGTGGGAGATCTGGATACTTGATTGCAAATGACCATATACAGAAAACTGTGTGGTTTCTGTTGGCGCTGGGAGGTTCTGGGTTGCTGGAGGCCTCTGAGCCCCAACAGGTATTGCCTTGGATTGAATGTCTCCCCCAAACTTGACCCCCACTGTGACAGTGTTAAGGGGATGGGAAATCCTATTGTGGTAGTTGAAAGGTAGGGCCTTGAAGAGGTGATTGGATTGTGAGGACTGCACCCTTGGGAATAGATTGATCCATTCTTAGAATAATGGGAGTGGTTCTGCTGGCAATAAAAAGAGAGCAACTGAGAAGGTTAGTCTCTCTCTCTCTCTGCTCCACCATTTTCAGCCATGTGAGACATGTGCATTGCTGTAAAGCCTCACCATATGTATTCCCTAAACTTTGGACTTCCCAGCCTCTGAAACTGTAAGCAATAAATTTTGTTTTCTTACAAATTCAGTTCCAGGTATTTTGTTATAAGCAACAGAAACAGACAAATCCAGAAAATTGGTACCAGAGAAGTGGGGTGTTCTTTATAACAGATACTTGAAAATGTGGAAGCAGCTTCAGAACTGGGTAATGGACCATAGTGGATTGAATTATGTCCCCCCAAAACTCATTGAAGCTTGAATTGTGTTCCCTAAGTTTTATGTACTAGAAACTTAGCCCCCATTGTGACTGTTAAGAAGGTGGGAAAGCCTATTATGGTAATTGAAAGGTGGGGCCTTGAAGAGGTGAATGGATTAAAAATGGTGGTCAAGGGCATGGCTCTGAGGGCTTTAAAAGAAGACAGTCTGTCTCTCTCTCTCTCTCTGTGTGTGTTCTCTCTCTCTCTCTCTCTCTATCTCTCTGCTCTCTCTCTCTCTCTGTGTTCTCTCTCTCTCTCTCTCTATCTCTCTGCTCTCTCTGCTCCCACCATCTTGCAATGTGAGACGTGTGTGTTCTCTCTCTCTCTCTCTCTCTATCTCTCTGCTCTCTCTGCTCCCACCATCTTGCAATGTGAGACCACTAGGTCACTGTTGCCACCAATCCTGGGTCACTCCTATCACCACTACCACTTCCTTGGACTTTGGACTTCCCAGCCTCAGAAACTGTAAGGAATAAATTTCATTTTCTTCATAAATCACCCAGTTCCGTGTACTTTGTTATAAGCAACAGAAACAGACTAATAAACGGACAAAGTCTGGAAGAATTTGAAAGAGCAGGCTAACTGCTGGTGTGAGTTTAGAAGACAAGAAAACCAGGGAAAGTGGAACTTTTTAGAGACTGGTTAAGTGTTAGCAACCAGAATGCTGATAGAAGTATGGACTGTAAAGGCCATTCTCGGAAGGTCTCAAACAGAAATAAGAAGGGGTTTTTTGGAAACTGGGCAAATATCACCCCTGTTATGAACTGGTAAGGAATTTGGCTGCATTCTGTTCATGCCCAAAAGTTTTATGGAATGTGGAACTTCAAAGTGCTGACCCAGGGTATGTGGTGGAAGAAATTTCTAAGTAGCAAAACATTCAGGAAGCTGCATGGCTACTTGTAACAGCCTATGCTGAGTAATGGTGGCAAAGGCATGACATAAAGCCAGAATTTAAAAGGGAAGCAGAGCATAAAGATTTAGAAGATCTGCAGCCTGGCCATGTAGTAGAGAAACAGAGAGCATTTTCAGGAGAAAAATACAATGGTGCAGCCCAGCAACAATTTGTTAAGGAGATTAGTACAGAAGAAAGAGATTATCAAAAAAAGACTTTGAAAGCATATCAGAGACCTTGGAAGCTGTGTCTTCCATCGCAGGCCCAGAGGTCTAGAGAGACACAATGGTCTTGGGGATCAGTCCAAGGTGCCCTCCACAGACTCACCATCCAGGGCCACCTCAGGATGCTGCTTCCCACACAAGCACCCCAGCTGCTTCGGCTGCTCCAGCTGTGGCTAAATTGGCCCCAGATGTGACTGGACCCACAGCTTTGGAAAATACAAGCTGGAAGCCTTGGCTGCATCCACATAGTATTAAGTCTGCAGGCTCGCAGAATGCCATAGCTGTGAAGGCTTGAGAGCTTCCGCCCCGATTCCAAAGAATGTATGGAAAAGCTTGAGGAACCAGAAAGACATCTGTCTCAGGGACAGATTCACCGCACACTGCTTTCGCTAGAGCAATGCTGAGCAGAAATGCGGCATTGAAGTTGCAGCAGAAAAACCCCATCAGTGCCATGCCTAGCTGAGCCGTGAGAGCTGGACCTCCATGGAGACCCCAGATCTGTAAAGCTACTGGCATGCAATGCCATCCTGGAAGGGCTGAAGCATCACCTGAGACCAGGAAACCCATAGGAGTGGAGCTGCCTGAGGACTTGGGGACACAATCCCCACATCAGCATGCAGAGGATGTCACACATGGAGTCAAGGTACATGATTCATCAGCTATAAGATTTAATGCCTGCCCTGCTGGATTATGGACTTGTTTGGGACCTGTTACCCCTTTCTTTTGGCTTATTTCTACGTTTTTTGAATGGGAATATGTACTCTATGTGTCCCACCATTGTATATGGAAGTAGATAACTCGTTTTGATTTCACTGATGGGACCTTGAGACTTTGGGCTTTTGAGATGAAACAAGTTAAGACTTTGAGGATGAAATGAATGTATTTGTATGTGAAAAGGACATGAGTTTTGGGGGGCCAGGGGTGGAATGCCTTGGACTGAACATCTCTCCAAAACTTGGCCCCCACTGTGACAGTGTTAAGAGGGTGGGAAATCCTATTGTGGTAGTTGAAAGGTGGGGCCTTGGAGAGATGATTGAGATTGTGAGGACTGCATGCTCATGAATGGATTTCTTGGGATAATGTGAGTGGTTCTGGTGGCATTAACAAGAGAATGAATGAGGTTAGTCTCTCTCTGTCTCTGTTTCTGCTCTGCCACTTTCTGCCATATGAGACCCCCATGATGCTGTAAAGCCATCACCAAAGAAGACCCTCACCTGATGTGTTCCTTGAACTTTGGACTTCCCAGCCTCCGAAACTGTGAGCAATAAAGTTCATTTTCTTTCAAATTACCAAGTTCCAGGTATTTTGCTACAAGCAACAGAAATAGACACATCCAGGTATCATTAATGATATGCTCACTTTGCATAAGAAGAATCTGGGGCACAGAGAGGTACAATAATATTCCATAGTCACACAGCTAGTGAGTGGGCTGCTACTGAACTTAGGCAGCCAGACTTCAAAGGTATGCACTTAATGCTCTGGCTTCTGTCTTTCCCAAGTGCCTGGCCCGGACCTGGCCAAAGTTAATTCTCAACATGTGTTGATCCAGTATAATTTGTAAGTTGTTCATAATTATTACCAATCTATCATTTAAGTTTTAGGAAGTAAGGAATTACTACACAGTGGAGGCCAAATGACCTGAACAATAGAATTTTACACACATCCTTCCTGGAAGGGATTACAGGGTCTAAATCATTTCCTCTTCCTCCTCCATCCTTACTTCTAAACAGATTTCTCTACGCAACCACACTGGCTCAGGGAACAAGATTCTGGTTTTCTTTACATTTTAAAATCCCCTTTCTGGTTAGTCTCAAATTTTACGCTTCCATGAAAACCAACGGGGATATCTCCACGGAATAACATTTTGATTAGTTACACTTTTAACGATGTTGATGGAAAAAGTAGTAAATATAGCTTTGCCGGAGGGCAGTGTCTTGCTGTCTCTCTTAAACACAAATCCCTGGAAAGAATTTAGCCCCGGCTGTGCAACTTCTTATCAGCAGCCAGAGGGGCCTCCAGCGACCCAGAACCTCCCAGCCGCAAAAGAAACCACACAATTTCCTATATATGGTCATTTGCAATCAAGTATCCAGATCTCCCACCTGCTGATTCACATGCCCGCGGAATGATTCATGCCTAGTGAATCGCATTCTGTTGCAAAGAGAAAGGTGAGTCTTTCCAAGGCAAAGCAAACTTCTTGGACTCCCAACGCCCAACCTTTCTTCTACCTCCTAAAAGAATTAAGCAAAGTGAGGAGAACGTGCTCAGGAGACGGGTGGGGTTCCAAGACCTCAGAACAGAGCTCTGAGCCACCTCCGCCAGAGACCCCGAGGACCATTCCGACGCTCTGCTTTTTTCTGTGCCCAAGACGTTTAGGATGGGGGAGGCAGAGAGGGCTAACTGGATCCCTTACGCTACTAGCTGTGATGAAGAGTGAAGCGTCCGGGAAGCTGAGACAGCTGGGTGACCGTCCCAGGGCACGGCACTTTTGCTCCCCTGGGCCTCAGTTTCCTCGATTCTGAAATGGAGGACGTCGACTCCTCTGAGGCTCCTCCAGCCCCGCACCCGCGCAGTGGGTTGGAATCCGGCGCCGGAGCCAGCCTCCAGCCCTGTCCAGGACAGAGCTGCGCTGTCGGGGGAACTGGCGAGGCGCTCCGCCCGCGTCCGCGTCGGGAAGGAGGGGACGGAAGGCGACACTCGCGGCGCCACGCGGGGAGGCCGAACTTACCCTGCAGCGCGATCGCAGTCGCCGCTGTGCGGGAGAACCGCGGACGAAGGTGCGCGTCCCGGGCCCTGGGCACTCGCGCTCGCTCCCGCCGGCGAGGCGACCGTGACCGCACCCCTTCCTCCCGGCCCTTCTCCGCCCGCTCGACTCCACCTGATCGCGGCCCGAGGCGCTGGGGAAGGAAAGCCGCGCCCCTCTGCCCCCGGAGGTGCTGTTTTTATCAGAATTTGCAGGAGAGGAAACTGAAGCTTAGAAAGATTTACTAAAGGCGACATAAGTAAAAAGCGTTGCTGGGACGCGCGCAGCCCTGGGCTCAGCCCGTAACCAACCTCTGCGCAGGGCTGAATCAGGAATGGCGTGCTGCAGGTACTTGGGAATAATTCAGCAGCTCCGTGGGAATTATTGCGAGTTTTTGAGAGAGGCAGGCATGGGATTCTGTTCCATCTTCCAAAAAGATAGTTCTACAGGTTCCATTAAAAATAAATAAATAAATAAATAAATAAATAAATAAATAAATCGGAAGAGAGAAGAAAAAATTAAAATCCTGCAGGAAGACTCTGTAGAAAGGCATTTAGAGTTCAAAAGTGAGAGATAATTAGAAGTGGAATTGGGCAATTGTGGTGGGTATAGGCTATTCCAAGTCGGACTTCAGAGACCTTTGACCTTTTCACATTAGTGCCTGATCTGATGGTCTCCATATGCTGCTGAAAGTGCGGGAGTCTGCATGGCAGGCCAAAGCAAAGGATGGGGGCCAGCACCCAACAGGCATCTTTTCCCAAAGAGAAGCAGGTGCTGCTCTAGAGTGGAGCAAATTCTAGGATTTGTTAAAGAGGCCAAGCTAGAGAAGAACAGCCAAGAGGGATGGTGCTACGGTCCATCCCTCAAATGTATCCCCCAAAAGTTCATGTACTGGAAACTTAATCTCCATTGTAACAGTGTTAAGGGGTGAGAAATCCACCTATGGTGTTTGAAAGGTGGGACCTTTAAGAGGTGACTAGACTGTGAGGCAAATAGCTCCCTACACCAAACATTCAAGCGTTTTCTCCTTTTTCTTTCCTTATTGTATTTTTTATTTTCAAATGGTGATGACATCAACTCACATACCTGTGAACAAGAAAGTATGTTCACTGCAGCATTATTCGTAGTAAGTAGGAAAGTATTGAAACAATGCCCATCAGTAGGAGAATGATAAGTAAGCCATGGTATAGTCATAAACTGGAATATTACACAGCAGTTAAAATTAATAAACAAGAGTAGCTAGAGTTGAACAGGAAGGGCAAGTGGTAGAATATACCTCATGATACCTTTTTTTTTTTTTTTTGGTGGCTGGCCAGTACAAGGATCCAAACCCTTGACGTTGGTATTATCAGCACCATGCTCTAACCAAGTGAGCTAACTAGCCAGCCCCCACGTCATGATACCATTTATTTAAAGTGTACATACCTGCTAAACAATATTATATAGTATGTATGGATATATAAATATTTTGAAATAAGTAAAACAACATGCATAAGAATAATAACACTGAGTTTATTGTTACATTATCCCTGGAGAATGAGGAAGGGAAATGGATCAGAAAGGGCACATAAGGAACAGCAATTACATCGGCATATCTTTTAAAATATCTTGAAAAACATTCCAAATGAATACAGCATAATGTTTAAGGTTTGATGAAGTTGGGTGGTGGGTACACAGGTAGTCTTTATTATAATATCATTTATTTTTAAAAAATGTTTAATAATTTAAAATTTTTTAGTAGTAATGTTTTTGAGGAGAGACTGCAGAATTACTGTAAGCCACTCTCCTGGGCCATTTCTTTGTCAGTTTGTTCCCATCTGTATTAGTCCACTTCTGTTGCTTATAATACAATACCTGAAACTGGGTAATTTATATAGAAAAGACATTTATTTCTTACACTTTGGAGGCTGGGAAGTCCAAGGTTCAGGGAACACATCTGGTGAAGGCCTTCTTCAGGGTGGGAGCTCTCCACAGAATCCTGGGATGACCAGGGTATCACATGGTAAGAACGGGCTGAGCAAGAGAGCTAACCTCCTCATTTGCTCTCCTTTTAAAGTCATCAGAACCACGCCCATTACTCCATGAATGGATCAATCTATTAACAAGAGCACAATCCTCACAATCTAATCACCTCTTAAAGGCCCCACCTTTCAAACACCATAGGTGGATTTCCCACCCCTTAACACTGTTACAATGGAGATTAAGTTTCCAGTACATGAACTTTTGGGGGATACATTTGGCCCATAGCACCATCCCTCTTGGCTGTTCTTCTCTAGCTTGGCCTCTTTAACAAATCCTAGAATTACTGTTACAATGGAGATTAAGTTTCCAGTACATGAACTTTTGGGGGATACATTTGGCCCATAGCACCATCCCTCTTGGTTGTTCTTCTCTAGCTTGGCCTCTTTAACAAATCCTAGAATTTGCTCCACTCTAGAGCAGCACCTGCTTCTCTTTGGGAAAAGATGCCTGTTGGGTTCTGGCGGGAGTAAGGGGGTGGGAATATTTCTGAATGATAATCTAATCTATCTCAGCAGTATACAGAGAGGTGTTGGGGAAGTCTTGGGAGCTAGTAACATGACCAGGTTATCAAATGGGACAAGGACAACTAGAGAAGCCCCAACGTCAAATATTTAGGACCGAGACAAGTAGAAATATTGAGTGTCTCAAGATCCCAGGAGAATGTTAGGCATGGAAATAACAGCTTCCTAGGAAAAAGAACTCAACCAATAAGCCATCAAATATTATTTTGGTGTTTGGAACTACAAAATAATAACATTAGCTAACATTTTTTTTAAAAAGTATCTACTATATGCCAGGCACTGTTCTAAATGCTTTGTATACATCATATTATGTAATTCTCACCCCAACTAGATGAGGTAGGTCCTATTATGTATTACTTTTAAGAGATGACCAAATTACACAGAGCGAGTAAGACTCTGGCCGAGTGTCACATAGCCAGTAAATTGAGTAGATGAGATAGGCAGCCTAGCTCCAAATTTTATTTTAGTCAATACAGTGCACTGTCTATAAATGTGCACATAATGCCAATTGGTTGACCAAAGGAGTCCCCTTGAGAATGAGGAGGAGGAGAAAGGACTAGCCAGTAATCTGGGTGAAACCATTCTTCTTTTAAGTTCAAAAGCTCTATAGTAATAGTCACATTCTCTAAGAACAGAAAAAGGTACTATTCATGACTCCTGTCAGCTCAGTAGACAGGGAATAAATATGGGCCAAATGGGAGCATGCATTGAGTGTGTCCTTTCCATTTCTAGAAGTAAACGGAAAGACCCATCTGCAATCTACTGGTTTATGTGCAGCAACAGGAAAGGAGTAGGTGGTTCAAGACTCTGTTATCAAATTACAATAGGTAATATGGATTGAGTTGTGTCCCCCAAGTTTTCGGTCATTGAAACTTAATCCCCACCATAACTGCTGAGGGTGGGATATTCTATTATGGTAATTGAAAGGTGGGGTCTTGAAGAGGTGATTAGATTCTGAGGACCATGATTAGTGAATGGATTAAAAATAGTGGTCATGTGCATGGTTCCAAGGGCTTTAAAAGGAGAGCACATGAGAGTCTCTCTCTCTCTCTGCTCCACCATTTTCTGCCATGTGAGACCCCTGCATTGCCATAAAGTCACCACTAAAGAAGACTCTCACCATATGTGTTCCTTGGACTTCTCAGACCCTCAGACTTGTCAGCAATAAATTTTGTTTTCTTACAAATTACTCATTTCCAGGTATTCTGTTACAAGCAACAGAAATGGACTAACATAATAGGCATATGTGGTAGGCAGAATAATGATCCACAAAGATGTCCAACAGAATCCCTGGAACCTGTGAATATATTATGTTATATGGCAAGGGGGATTATGGTTACAGTTGGAATTAAACCTGCTAATCAGCTGATTTGAACATAAAGAGATTATCCTGGATTATCTGAATAAGCCCAATGTAATCAGAAGGTTTCTTACATGGGGAAGAGTGAGGCAGAAGAGTCAAAACCAGAGAGATGGTATGGTGAGAAAGACTCAGCTGGCCATTAATGGCTTTGAAGATGGAAGTGGCTGGATCCAAGGAATACAGGTGGCCTCTGAAAACTGGAAAAGGAAAGAAAGTAGATTCTTTCCCAGAGCCTCCAGAAGGAACAATGTCCTACTAACACCTGGATTTTAGCCCAGTGAGGCCCTTTCAGACTTCTCACTTCCAGAACTATAAGATAATAAATTTGTGTTGTTTTAAGCCACTGTGTTTGTATGTTGCAGTCTCTTTGTCCTCACAGGGATTTGTCACCTCTCTCCCCTGGGTGATGGAGATGCAAAGGATTACTCAAAGCCCATTTCTTCCAAGCAGTGAGAGACCCTGAGGAGGTTAATCTCCCAGAACCCTCAAGAGAGAGGCATTCCTTCCTTGGGAAATTAACCACGAACTGGGGTTCTCTCCCCGCATTTATTCTCCAGACCAGGAAGTTACAGGAAAAGAACATAGTTGGGGGTTATGGCTAAGTATAGTTTAACAATAGAGGCTGATAAACATCAGTGAAACAAGCAACATGACATTCCATAATGCAATTTGCAAAAGGTTGAGTTGATCCACCAACAAAAGCTTGATCTTAGCAAACACTGTTTTTCACTACAGCAATTTCCCCAGTATTTTACATATCAATTAAGTAACTTGCCTGTCCTTGAGCCAGCAACTTTGCTATGTTACAAATACTGTAGCCTGAGGAAAGTTTCCTGTCTTTTGCAAGGTTAACATTTCTATATGTAATTCCAAAAGGTTAGGCTAAACCTGAGACTACAAGGCTTTGGAAAATAGGCCCTGTGAAATACATTTGCTTTATAAATGTTAGCATGGTGAGAAAGACTCAACTGGCCATTAATGGCTTTGAAGATGGAAGTGGCTGGATCCAAGGAATACAGGTGGCCTCTGAAAACTGGAAAAGGAAAGGAAGTAGATTCTTCCCTAGAGCCTCCAGAAGGAACACTGCCCTACTAATACCTGGATTCTAGCCCAGTGAGGCCCTTTCAGATTTCTGACTTCCAGAACTG